AGGACGATTTAGGAGATAGCAATCTGGGACTACTGAGAAGTCGGAACCCTGAGTTAGCGTCCCTGGGAAACAGCACTTTGACAAGCTCCCAGGTGAGTCCAAGGCAGGGGGTCCAGGCCATATCATCCCTCAAGGGGAGAAGACCCAAGAGCTCTGCTCTAAGAGGTGGAGAAGGAAGCGCCATGGCTTCAGGAGGCTCATGGTGTGGGGAGGCTTACAGCTAGGGGAGGCTCACGGTTGGGGGAGACTCATAGTTGCGGGAGGCTCAGGCTCATGGTTGGAGGAGGCTCACGGTTGGGGTGGCTGGGATACCTCCAGGTGGCCGGGCGAAGTGGAAGATGTGCACGCGGGTGCCAGTGCTTCCTGCGTCAAACATGATCCCGTAGAAGACCTCATGACCACGTGCAGCCGTCCCTGGAGGGCTGTGGGCCTGCTGGCTCCACCGGGCCGCTGAGGCTGCGCTGGCAATGCTGAAGAAGGCCTGAGTGGCAGAGGCCCGGTGCCACTTGATGTAGGCGATGTAGATGAACAGGCCCACGCACAGCCCCAGTGGGTAGGCCACCTTGGCCATCCGCAGGCTCCCGTGATTCGGTCTTTTCCTCATCTCTCTGTCTGCCGAGGACCGTGCTGCAGCTGTGGGCAGGGCGGGCTGAGGGCAGAGGGAGGCACATCAGGCTGCAGCTTCTGCCAGCCGGGAGGCCCTGGGCCCAGGGCCCAAGTGCCCCCCAGAAACAGGCCTGCACTCTAAGCCCCCTTCCCCCCCAGAACCAGGCACGTTGCTTGATCCTCAGAATGATTCTGGAAGACGTGATCTCTCGGAGGGCAAACTGAGGTTAGGAAGGATGACCTGTCTGGGTTACACCCCCTGCACATAGTGGCCAGGGTGCCAGCCAGACAAAGGGCCCAGAGGAGCAGTGCTGTTCAGGTGAGAAAAGCCATGTCTCCAAACCATGAAGGAACAGAAACCAGACTCCCAGCCCTCTCAGTCCTCACGTAGGCCTCCTTGGGCAACTTACCTCTCAGAAGGTTTAAAACCCGGTCCTCGGTGACTACAGCACACTGCTGCCAAGGGGGAAGTAATTCTGTTCTTTCATAGCCTATACCAATTCTGCCCAAGTAGCAAAATAAATCTGGCGCATGTTCCTGGGTCAGCACCCCCAGATGAAAGCACTGGTCGTTTTACTGGCTGCTCCCAGTGCAAGGCAGCCTGTGGGATGAGGCTTCTAAGGACCTAGAAGCAAGGAGCCTGGGCCTTAGGGCTGCTCTGCCCTTGGGGAGTGTCCACACCTGCCCATCCCTCACTCCCAGGCTGTCGTGGTAAATGTGGTGACCACTCTGGGGGACGGGAGCCAGGGTGGTGCCAGGCTGAAGCAGGCTCTACCCACAGCACTGTGAGACTGGACGAGGCCAGCGAGGTCTCCTCATCTGTGGGGCAGGGCTGCTCACAGGAGAGCCTCAGTCGACACGCCCAGGGCACACTGTGGGGAAAACACACACTGAACGCAGGCTTTCCAGGGGCCAGCAGGGGGAACAGCCCCAGGAACCAGTGTGGCTACACTGCCTGAACGGGTCAGGCCTATGGGGCCTGTATACCAGCCTTGAGGTTGCCTGAGAACAGAAATGGAGCAGAAGGGGTCCATGGGGCAGCACAGAGCCCAGGCCATCCTCAGTCCTTTTTGTCTAGACCCACATGCCCCCAGAGTTAGGAGGGACAGTACTGCCTCTGTGGCCCTGCCTGGGGTAAGAAGCCTCATAATCAGGATTAGCCCTGTTCCTCGAGCTGGGCCAGGGGACATTCTCCCTTCCATGAGCATGTGCAATGCACAGGGCTACAGAAAGGCTCCCCTGACAGGGTGAGGAGCACATATCTCCAGTCCCTGCCTCTGCTTTCTCTGGGGCTCTCTGGGCCTCATGGCACTGGCGGGCTTCCCACTACTCTCGAGCTGGTGTTGTGGGCCCCTGCCCACCCTGGCCCACCTCACACCTCTTTGTCCCTTGTTCATGGTACTCCAAGAACACCATGCTTCCTTCTGCCCCAAAGCTTGTCCCTGCCTCTCACCTACCCTAGAATGCTAGTCTTCCAGCATGGTCAACAGTCCTCCTCCTGAAGCCTCTGCTAAGATGTTGCCGCTACCTTCCTCAATGCCCAACCTGAGCCCATCAGGAACTCTTGAGCTCTCTGCAGCCACCATCACCTGTGATGACGTGTGCCGTGGGCTTAGCTCTTGAAGAGGTGTCTGCCCTCTAGCCGTGAGCCCCAGGGGCAGGGGCTCAGCTTGTCTTGTGCTGCTCCCATCTAGTATAGCACACATGCCCTAATCTAGAATGGAACAGGATGCTTCTTCACCCTCACCATCTTCCCCAACGCCTAATGGCAAACTGAATTCAACAGCGCACTGAAAGGATTGTACTCCACAACCAAGGGGGTTTGTCCCTAGATGGCAAGGATGGTTCAACGGATGAAAGCAATCAATGTGAAAGCAATCAACGTAATATGCCACATTAACCGAATGAAGGAAAAAAGTCATCTTCTCAGTTGAGGCAGAAAATCCATCACCTTTCCATAATAGAAACAATTAACTGGGACCAGCAGTTGGCGTAATGGCTATGTCAATGGACTCTCACATAGTCAACCACAGTTTGAGTCCTGGACCCGGTGGCTTAAACTCACACTGTGCATGCAGGCCCAAGATCCCGAGAGGAGAATGAAGGAGAAGGGACTGCAGCACTGCCATCCTCCCTGGGGGGTGATTTCTCACTTTCTGTCTCTGTCTCTGTCTTTCTGGTGAGCACATGCACCCTATAGCAAAAACCTCTCCCCGAAAAAAAAAAAAAAATTAACAACTAAGAAGAGAAGGAACCAGCTGATCACAATAAATGTCACATAAGAAAACTCCATAGCTAACAGCATACTCAATGGTGGAAGACTGGAATCTTTTACTGAAAGATCAGGAACATGAAAGGATTCTACCCACTGAGAAAATATCTTTCATATGTCATCACCTGTGTCCAGCCCTCAGGCCTGTATCACTGCCCTCGTCTGCACACGATGGCACCATGGCCCTGGGAGTGCTTGCAAACAGACCTGCCCGGGAGCGCATGTGGGCACGTGGCAGAGCACGGAGCACAGGCAGGAGCTGCTGGTTGTGGTCTCCAAAGCACAGGTACTTTATCGCTTCTCCTTCCCTATAAATATAAGACCATTCTAGACAACCAAAACACATGAACTTCCGTGTACATAATTACTGAAGTACACACCAACAAGGTCAGGACAACACTCACAGAGTCCAAAGAGAATGCCATTTCCAGGGAGTGCAGGACCAGGAACAGTGGCCCCCAGGCCACCTCCGAGATCTAAATGCCAATGTCATCCCGTTAGGGTAAGGTGTCTGAGTATAGGTGAGGCATTGGAAGGCAGGACAAACAACATTTCTGTGGGTGCCATGAGCACCCCAGTGTGCTCATCAGATCCCCCCGAGAGACTCACTGAGAAGAGGTCCATCTTAGCTGAGTCAATTCTTTAAAGGAAAGATCATAGAGTGAGGCGGTAAGGAAGGTATGCAAGGCAGGGAACCATGGGGAGGAGTTACCTCCTCGTCAGGTCCAGGTAGGAGTCATAGAGGACAGTCTGGGTGTGCAGCAGTGCTGTCAGAGGAAGGAGCCTGCCCGTTTCCGGGGCTGGCTTTCAAGGCCTGGGGTCAGTAGGCTGGCTCTCGGAAATATAACATCTATTTGACCTGGGCTGGCGGCTGGCTAATCTGTTGGCTAGTGTCTTGACTACGAACAGCTGCCACAACATGGAAAATATGTCCCTAAATCAGGCACATCGGCAGGTCTGAATGCACTTTCCTCCCTTCTCCACGGAAACACTGCAGACGAACCAACCCACTCAACACCCACTCAAAACCACCGACTACCCCCTTCTCACAGGATGTGGTGGGAGGGGAGGGTGAGCCAGAGCTCTTCACACTGATGGCTACCCGCTCTGGTTTTTCAAACGAGACTCCTGGAGGGAGACAGATCCACTGCACTGTATCAGCCAGCTGACTCTGGGGGGCAAGAGCAGGGGGACAGAAAATAATTTCTGGATCTGTAACATTATGTTTGCCAGATTTTTCGAGAATGATTGCATAGTTCACACTAACAGGGGAATGTCCCCTAGACTAGCCCTATTCTTTCATGGGTCTTGCACAGGGGGTCTGAGAGAAAGTGCATCCACCGCCCACCTTCCCCAAGGAACCTCCTTATCAGAGGTTTGAGAGTTCCCAGCTGGAGGCCATGCTGAGAGGCTTCCCGGTACCCTTTAAGAGTAGGAGGGGCCCAGTGCACATAATCCTGTAATACAACTGCCTGGATGGACACCTATACCTAGCCAGGTGGCACATTCCTCCGATGGACACCCAGGGTGCGGGGCTACACACACCAGGACCTCTGCAGCAATTTCCCCACCCCTTCAATATTCCATGGCTTCCAGGCGCACTTAAGATAAAAACGGCTCTCCCTTCCCTAGGCCTACTCCCTCCACCTCCCCTCGCCCCGCCCAGCCCCGCAGACTGCTCAGGTGGAAACACCAGGCCGCAGAGCATCCCTAATGCCATAATGCCAGAGTTATACGTCCTAGCTTCCTTTACATAGTCTGATCGGCGCGTTCTTGTCTGTTTCTTGGGCTTCTCAGAGGGCGTGAGATCCAGGAGGGGAGGGGCCTGCCTGTCCCGCCCCTATCATCCCTCCCTTCCCTAGCCTTGGGCTGGGGGCGGGTCAGCAAACAGGGGTTGAATGAATGAATGCAGCAGAGCCATAGGCTCCCTCAAGGCGGAGACCCCTGCTTTTTGGCCCACATAGTTGCCCCATCAATGAACGCGCTTCCCACGGATTGCGGAGTTCAAACGTCCAGGGAGGACAAATGAAGCTTGTCCCAGCTTCCTGTCCAAAAATGCACGAAGGAGACTGGGGATGCGAGTGACCCAGGGACAGACCCCCAGGCGGTGCCTCTGGGTACCAGAGGGTGGTCAGGCGCTTGGCTCTGCACCCCAGCGGGCCGCGACCCTCTCGGTTCTTCCCCAGCCTGCAGGCGCACCGTAGGTGCATGCGGGGAGGCCCACTTGCAGTCAGTGACCCCGGTCGGGCAGACTGCGCGCCCCTACCCGCCGCTTACCCTGCACGGCGCCCTCTGCCCCACCCACGCTGGCGAGTGCCGTCCCCGGGCAGCGGGCGGCTGACAGAGCGTGCCTTTCTGCTCTTCTGCCAGGCCAGCGTCACCGTGGCCTCCACCCGCGGATTACCACCCGGTTGATCCCGGAGCCTGGGCCCCGCCCACGCGTGCGTGCGTCCCCTGCCGGGCAAGGCTTCGCGAGCCCAGCGGCGCAGGCGCCTAGAAGAGCGGGGCGGGGCCACTCAGCTACGCAGGCGCCTAGGGGAGGGGGCGGGGCCACCCAGCTGCGCGGGCGCGTGGCGGGGAGCTGCGGCTTCCGGGGGCGGCCGCGCTGCGGAAGTGTTGTGGCCTAGGGCCTTCCAGCCCAGCGCGCGACTTTTTCGTTCTCTCTTGCGCGTAACCGTGTTCATTTCTCCCAGGAGCCGGCATCTGGGCGATCTGGGGCCAGGACCCCGGTGCGGCCCCTCTTAGGACAGATTCTAGGGATCCCCTTGACCAATGTCCTCAGGGCGCTGCGGACTCTTTCAGAGCCTTCTGGAGTTCCTGTGGCTGCTGAGTGTGACCTGTGTGTGAAGTTTCCTTTATCCCTCCTCGTCTAAATGTCCTTGTTTTTATTTGAAGCAATGCATGATAGAAAAGGCAACCACAACAGGGTGGGCAGTGCCATCAAGTCTCCCCTATTCCTGGCCTCATTTTCTGATCTCTTGGGAGATCCCAAGGTTGCCAGCCCCTGACTCCATTAGTCCCTTGGGAGCTACCAAGGTTGCCAGCCCCTGACTCCATTAGTCCTGGAATGCAGGCCCGTTTACCCAGGGGCCTGGGTGGTAAGGGCTGCCTTATTACCCCCAAGTCGTGTTTCCTTTTCTCCAGAGCTAAGGCCTCTTTCCCACTTGCCTTGCAGTAGGGCTGCACACATGGCGGCATCTGGCCAGTGGTGCATGGGCAGCCACATGCGGTGTTTGACCTATTAGATGAGGCTGTCGGTGCACCCCTACCGTGCCTGGCCCAGAGGACCACCCTATCTAAAGTGCACCAGTGGAGAGCCAAATTTGTAGGTCTGTGTTTCAGAATTACCAAGTAGTGCTAAACCTATGGTCAGGATGGGACACTTGTGATGGTCAATGAGTGCTAACCACGGGGATGGTGTCTCAGTCAGGAATGGCAATGGGCACTGGTCACCCTGCCCAGTCGTCCTGTAGAAGGCTGCCAAGAGCACTTGTTTGGACTCTGCCTTCCTTTTCCAGGTCATGTCAGGAAGATGGGATTTTTATAGCACTTACCCCTTTGTTGGTGGGCCTAAAGATTGTGTCCAGTTGGTCACTTTTGTGTGCACACGCGGGGTATATATACCTGTAGGAAACATTATTAGGAATGGTATCACCTCTGGTGAAGGATCTCTCTCTTCCTTTTTAAAAAGTACTGGATAGATATGGCTACATTGCCTCTTGGCACACACACACACAGTGTGCTAATTTACACTCTCCATAAATAATGTTTAAGAGTGTGGGTTTCTTCACTTTTTCACCAGTGGAGTCTTTCCTAACTTAAATCTTGGCTAAGTCAATAGTTTCAAAAGTATATCTCGCGGGACCAGCAGTTAGCGTAATGGCTATGTCACTGGACTCCCATGTAGTCGACCGCGGTTCGTGACCCGGACCCAGTGGCTTAAACTCACACCGGGCACGTGTGCGTGCGTGCCCAAGATCCCAAGAGGAGAATGGAGGAGAAGGGATTGTGGTGTGGCCATCCCCCCCTGGGGGGTGATTTCTCGCTTTCTGTCTGTCTGGCGAGCGCACACGCCCTATCTCAAAAAAAAAAAAAAAAAAAAAAAGAAAGAAAGAAAAGAAAAGTATACCTTGCATACAGTTTTAATTTACATTTTTCTAATATTTAAAAATTGCCTCTCTCTTGCTCAGAACACATCTTTTCACTGCCTCCTTTTTCACCATATTTCACTCTTAGAGCTTCTGAAATGTGTCAGAGTTTTGCTAGCATAGGCTTTTGCACATGCTGTTCCCTGCTTGGAAAAACCCTTCCACCAGGTCTTTCTTTAGCAGATTCTTCTCAATCCTTAAGATCAGCTCAAATGTCACTTCCTTAGACCATTTTACCCAGTGGCCTCTCCCAGTTATTCTCTATCTCATCACCCTTTGTTTCTTTCATAGCATGTATCACCTGTGAGTATTTATTAGTTCATTTATTTATTGGTATATTCTTTGTTCCACTACTGAAATGTGAGCCCTAGAGGAGCAACAAAGTTGACCCTGTGCTGCATGCCCAGCACCCAGCATGCTGCCTGGGAACTCCTGGTGCCCACATGCCCTCAGTCCTCCTCGGACATCACTCTCTGGCCGGAGTCCACTTCAAGAATCTTTCCTTTAGGGCTTACCCTGCAAGCCAGGCATCAGGCAGTTTAGTTGGGGGAAGTTCAACACCCCCAGGGGCACCTGCGGGGCAGTTCTCCGGGTGGCCTTGGACCTTCTTTTGCTTGTGTTTCTCAAGAACAGCTGTAGAAAGTCCTAGAAATGGGGACCAGCAATTAGCATAATGGCTATGTCGCTGGACTCCCATGTAGTCGATCACGGTTTGAGTCCTGGACCTGGTGGCTTAAACTCACGCTGGGCGCGTGTACGTGTGCGCCCAAGATCCCGAGGGGAGAATGGAGGAGAACAGATTGCTGTGAGGTCATCCCCCCTGGGGGTGATTTCTCACTTTCCGTCTCTCTGTCTCTCTGTCTTTCTGGCGAGCGCACGTGCCCTATAGCAAAAACCTAACCTTTCCAAAAAAAATGAAAAAGTCATAGAAATGCAACATCTTGATCTGAGGAGGTGGTCAGTACAGTCTGCTTTCGTCCCACCTAGTCTCCAAAACAGGTTGTCCTTGAATGTTTTAGTCCTGCAAGTACTGTGACCCCAGAGTGTAGAATCTGGAATGGAGTGCTTTCCCGAGTCTCTCAGCTGAGATGCAAGTGGGGTAGGCAAAGTTGAGACTGTGTCTGCCTCGGGCAGCTCTCCTGAGCTTTGGGGAACCCATTTGCAATGAATTCTAGGCTTCCGTTGTCCCTAGTTGCCGATCCATAAGTAACAAATCCACTTCCCATAATTCGTTCAGTATGAATGTGTCTGTCTCATGAGACTCAAATGAGTTGGTAACCAGTGCACAGGGAGACTGCTTCACAGCAGCTCTTACTAACTGAAAATAAAGGCCTCAGCCTTCCGTTCTCAGACGAGCAATTCTGAGTCAGCGGGATTGAGTTTGAGTTGCTCACTGTGATAACCAGCCTAGTAATGCCACCTGCTTACTCTTCCTCATGCCTGTGTCCAGGGATCACCTTCCAAATAAACTACCTTCATTTAAGCTCTTGTCTCAGAATACCTTTGGATAAATCTAAATTAAGACAGTATTTAAGATATTAGGTGGCCAGGAAACATATGATGTATATTTTATACAAAAATGTGTCATGACTTTCCTGACTACCCTGTATTTGTCTAGGAAATGAGCGGATTAATGATGATGCTTCTGGAGCCTCACTTGGCAACCAAAAGTAGCCATTCAGTCCCATAGGTGGAAGATAATGGAGGCCAGTTGGCATTTTTGGCCCTGGGATTGCGGGAGAGGGAGCGGACGACTAAGATAGGGGCTATAGCAAACTGTATGCAAGTGCTCTGACAGTGGGAAGGCATGCCAGCCCTCTTAGCTTGCACAATGTAATTAATGCTGAGAGAGGCCAGCTATTTGTGTGGTGCATGCTCAGATGTCCAGAGAGGTAATCCACATCTCTCTCCCCTTCCGTCTCACTTTCTGCTCCTCTCCTAGGGGTTCCTGAGGTCACATTCCAAATAGCCTACTTGCACTCAAATCCTTTCTCAAAATTTGTTTTGGGGGGAGAATTTGACCTGGCACCTATTGTTCATAGGCCATTTTGATAATAATATCAAATAGAATATCTTGGTTACCTCTCTCATTTCTTCCTCTGGTTACCAGTTACTGCCTTTCCAACTATTGGGTTATCAGGAAAGTCATGACACATTTTTGCATAGAAAAACATAGAAAAATATGTCACAACTTTCCCAACAACCTAATAAATCCTTTCTCTTTAACTCCACAGAGAAGCCAGACCCTCTTTGCTCATGGTCAGCCTTCTATTTTCCAAAATCTAGTACATGCATGACAGGATGCAAGGGAAACCTTATCCTGGCCCAAGGGAAGTTGGTTTCATTACTCCCACCTGTCACATGAGCCACACTCTTCCCACACTGAATCTGGTATTTATAACCATTTTCTATGTTTCTATATCCTCTAGTCATTCAGTTTCAGCTATAGAGTGCAGACAGTATATATTAAGGGGAGACATACAATGTCTCTCCATAGCCTGGCTTGCTTCACTTAGCAGTAAATCTTCCACATTCATTCACTTTCTGTCAAAAACCAAGGTCTACTACTCATGGCTGAGTAGTATTCCACAGAGTATATGTGCTACACTTTTTCAATCCATTCATCTGTTTTGTGGGTATTTGGGTTGGTTCCATGCCTTAGCAATTGTGAATAATGCTGCAATAAACATCAATGTGTAAGCACTTTTCTAACTAAGCATTCTTCTGTCCTTTAGGTAGATACCAAGGAGTGGGATTGTAGGATCATATGGTAGTTCTATTTGTATAACTTTGAGGAATCTCCATCTTGTTCTCCATAGTGGCTGGACCAATTTACATTCCTACCATAGGAGAGTTTCCCTTTTTCCGCACCCCAACCAGCACTTACCACTTTTTTTTTCTTTTAGTCTTAGTCATTCTGACTGGGATTAAGTGGTATCTCATTGTCTATTTTGGGGATTATTGACTGTGCTTTGGAGGTCTTATTTAAGAAGGCTTTGCCTACCCCAATGTCTCTCAGAGTTTCCTCAGAGTTTTCCAGCAGTAATTTTATAGTTTGAGGTCTTAGGTTTCGATCTTTAATTCACTTGAGTTGATTTTTGTCAATGGTGAGAGGTAGGGGTTCAGATACATCTTTCTGCAGGTGGATATCCAGTTTTTACAGCACCATTTGCTAAAGAGGTTTTCCTTTTCCTGCTGGATTGACTGGTACCCCTTGTCAAAAATCAGTTGGCTGTATGTTTGGGAGTTTATTTCCGTGGTCTCTATTCTGTTCCATTGGTCCATCTGTCTGTTT